ACTGGATTAGATGCCATAGAAATGGCACTGAGGTTGTCTATCCACACCACTGGTCTATCTTGCAATGAAACATGAATTTCATTAAATAGATTTTTCATCCACATGATCTCAGAGGTCACATGTGCTAGACTCTTATACTCAGCTTCTGCACTTGACCTTGATACTGAACTTTGTTTTCTAGAACTCTATGAAACAAGGCTTCCTCCAATAAAAACACAAAAACCACTAGTTGATCTTCTATCATCTAAGTTTGCTTCCCAGTCTGAATCACAAAAACCAACCATGTTGAGATCAGCAGTCTTAGGTATTCTCAAACCAAGAGATGTGGTGCCTGCTACATACTTCAGGATCCTCTTAATGGCTTTCCAGTGTTCATCATGAGGATTAGACATGTACTGGCTGATTTTGTTCATTGAGAAGGCAATCTCTGCCCTTGTAATGGTTAAATATTGCAAACCTCCAACTATTCTTCTATACATTGTAGCATCCACACTAACATCAGTTTGATTCTTCTTGAGGATACAACTTGTAGACATTGATGTCCTTGCACCTTTGGCATTGTACATTGACACCTTAGATAATAGCTCCTGAGCATACCCCTCTTGTGATAAAAACATGCCATCATCAGACCTGTGCACTCTCATACCCAAGAAGTTATGAATCTCACCTAGATCCTTTAAAGAGAAACTTGCACTCAGCTGAGAAATAATCTGCTCAATCTCTTGTGTATTGTTTCGTGTGACTAATATGTCATCAACATAAATCAAGATCAATGTAACTGAGTGTGATTCCTTTCTGAAAAACAAGGAATTATCAGCTCGAGAGCTACTGAAATTCATTTTTTTGAGAGTGCTCTTCACTTTAAAGAACCAAGCTCTTGAAGCTTGTTTTAAGACATAAATGGTTTTGTTCAGTTTGCAAACCTTCTTGGGATAATTCTTGTGATGAAAACCTAGGGGTTGCAACATGTATATTTCCTCAGAAAGATCCCCATTAAGAAAAGCATTGTTGATGTCTAGTTTTCTGACAGGACAACCATAATGAACAGCAACAGTAAGAATGATCCTAATGGTAGAATGTTTTACCACTGGGCTGAAGGTTTCCCTGAAATCAAATCCAGTAGCTTGTGAGTAGCCTTGTACTACAAGCCTGGCTTTATACCTTGAGATAGTCCCATCAGAATTTCTTTTAAGCTTGAAAATCCATCTGCATCCCACAATGTTTTTGTTAATGGGTGGATCTGTGAGAGTCCAAGTGTTGTTGTCAACCAATGCCTTTAATTCAGAAGCCATGGCATCTCTCCAATGACTTGAAATTAGAGCTTCATCAAGATTGTTTGGTTCTCTTTCTTGAATGCTAACCACAAGATCTCTTGGCTTAAAGATCCCAGCCTTTGCTCTTGTCACCATGTGGTGCCTGTTGGAAACTCTTAATGATCTTGTTGAAGATGAGTTTGGTTTTGGATTGTTATTCAACTCAATAGGTAATCAACAACTAAAGGAATGGTACTATGGGTTGACTGAGAGTTAATGGACCTGGGACTATGCAAGGAGTGACTTAGAGAAGTGTGGTTTGGTGAGTTTGGCTTTTTCAGGTGTAATATTTTGGGTAGGCCTTTCTCTGTGTGGGGAACAAGGTTGACTTGGAATCACAGGAGGATTGTTTATGCATAGAGGTTGGAAAAGATCAGGATCAGAATGTTTAACACCAATATCCTTAGCATGAGGAAACACATTTTCATCAAACAAAACATGTCTTGAAATCATAACTTTACCAGAGGGTAATAGGATTTTATAGCCTTTGTGGGAACCACTGAATCCTATACAATGGACCTAGGTTCAAGTTTGTGTTTATTAAAAGGTCTTAGCAATGGAAAGGCAAGACATCCAAAGGTTTTGAACCTACTGAAATCTGGTTGGTGATTGTAGAGGACTTCCAAGGGGGTCTTGTATTTCAAAGACTTGGTTGGTAATCTGTTTATAATGTAACAGGATGTGGAAAAAGCATCATCCCAAAATTTTAGGGGTAAGGAAGCTTGGTTAAACAAGGACAAACCCATATCAGTGAGGTGTCTATGCTTTCTCTCAGCTGTTCCATTTTGCTGAGGTGTATGTGGGCATGAAATTCTGTGAGTGATGCCATTGGTTTGCAAAAAGGGTGTAAGGGATCTGTACTCTCCTCCCCAATCACTCTGAAGAATTTTGATTTATGACCAAGTTGGGTTTTTGCCATGCTTTTAAAATGAAGGAAAATGTCATGGACTTCTGACTTAAGTTTCAAAAAATAGATCCAAGTGAATTTTGTGTATTGGTCTACAAAGATGACATAACAATCATGGCCATTTCTAGATTTAATGGGTGCAGGGCCCCATAAGTCTGAGTGAACTAACTCAAGAGGTGTATTATATTGAGTTTCTGAATCAACAAAAGGCAATCATGAATTTTTGACACAGCACAAATAGAACATAAACCATTCATTTCATTATTATCAAAGGGCTGGTTACAAGATTTCAGAACTTTCTTGACAATGTCAAGATTACAATGGCCAAGCCTTTTGTGCCACAAGTCTAAAGTGGACAGTTTCTTAAAGCTAGTAAGAAAAACTGAAGGAAAAGACTGAAGATGATTGCTGTTTTTCGTGTGGTGAGAGGCTGCATTTGACAGTTCAAATTGGTAAAGTCCTTGATTAAGATCCCCTTGGAGTAGAACCTCCTGAGTTACTTGGTCCTTTACAAAACAATGAAAGGGGTGAAATTCAAAGTACACTTATTATCTAAGGCAAATTTGGACACACTTACAAGATTTTTGGTCATACTAGGCACATGCAGTAAGTCTTTCAAGACAAAGATTTTGTTTGAGTTGTTGGGTTTTAGATGAGATTTACCTATGTGAGAGATATTCTCTCCAGAACCATTACCCATGTGCAGTTTGCTGCCTCCTCCATATTCACTAGCAATGCTCAAGTTTGTGAAGTCATTAGTAACATGGTTAGTTGCACCACTGTCTGGAAACCATTGGTTTGCCTCACTAGTTGCCTCTGATGGAGTGAAGTGCTAAGTGTGTACCATGTTAGCTGCTGGGCTATTGAATCCTCTTGTTGAGTTTTGTGGTGTGCTCCCCATGAATCCACTATCATACCTGTACCAACACCTTTCTGCAGTATGTCCAGAAACACCACACACTTGACATTAAATTTTTGACCTTGAGGTTCTTCCACCTCTTCCTCTATTTGGGCCTCTACCTCCTCTTCCTCTGAAATTTTGATTGAAGGGAGCCCTTCCACTTCTATTCTGTGGTGCACTTCTGGAAAAGTTATAAGTCATGGAAGCATTGGCCATAGGATAAGAGCCATCATTGTTTACCAGAGGAGCACTAAGACCTACTGACTCTAGCCTTGACTCAAAACTCAGAAGCAAAGCTTGAAGGTCAATGATAGACCAAGGTTTAATCCTTGAAGAAACAGTTACCATGATAGGATTATATTCCTGCCCAAGACCACCAATCAAATGCATAATTTGATCCTTTTCAGAAACTATATGTCCTGCTGCAGCTAAAGCATCAAACAAGGCTTTCATTTTGCTTATGTACTCTTTCATGGTCAAAGACCCTTTCTTAAGCCCTTGGATTTCCATTTTATATTGCATTACTCTTGCTAATGACTGGCTACTGAAATTTTTCTGAAGAGCAGACCATATGTCCTTAGAGGAACTCAAACCAACCATTAATGAAAGAATGTTGTGACCTAAAGAAGACAGAATCAATGAAGCTAAAAGACTATCTTGCCTTTGCCATATAGTGTAGTCTGGATTCAGAGTAATAGGCCCTGTTGGATCTGTGGTCAAGTACCTCTGAGGTGGTTGGCTTGTTCCATCTACAAATCCTTCCAAGCCATAGCCTTTGATGGCCAACTCCACTCGTTGCTTCCATATGAGGAAGTTTCCATCATCAAGCTTCACTGTCACTAGCTGGTTGTTGGGAGAGATGAGCTGCAACGATCTTGGACTTGATGGGTTCAAGGATGAGCTGATTTCAGACATTTTTTTATGTGAAAGCAAGATCTGAGAGAATGAAAAGAAAAGGATCAGAGACAGGTATAAACCTGTTCTGATACCATGTTAAAATAACATGGTAATGTGATAAAGCTTCAAGGAAAGAAATATGGAAAACTGCATTTTCTTGTTCTTCATTCGAAATAATGCGGCACACTTTTTCACAACTCGAGTAAAACCTAGCTTTGTACAAGAATACTTATACTAGGAAAAGAATCCTCTAGAATGTAGACACTTGTCAAGATCTTGTAGCATATGGAGAGTTTATCGTGTGGTTTATGAGAAAAGAGACATGCAGTTGTCATTGGCTCTCTTCTCTTCCTTGTCATGCAAGAAGACAAAACTGCTGCTGCATGAAGAGCTCGTGTTCACACCATGTAGTGAATTTTTACTCCCCTTGTGTTGTGAAGTCTCATTGTTACTGCAAGAACCAACGGTAACTTCTAACATAAAGAATGGGACCAGAATTAAATCCCATAACAATTCTCAGAGACCCAATTTATGGCGATCCCTTCAAAAACATCTCATTCGTTATGATGGTCTTCTCAAGTGTCTAAAAAGACTAGTTAGAGAATCGACCGTCTGACGTCGAAGCAACTGGGTAGCCTGCATCAGTGCCAATTGGGAATCTACAAACAAGATGAACAAGACGACGACATTTCTCTCTACTTCTGTCACTTGAAACAATCGAGCGTGACACGTCCATCAAGGTTATTCCTTAAACCAAAGCGATTCTATGAGCAAAGGCAGTGTTTCTTTCTTTCTCAAACAAAATATCTCACGATGAAACACTGAACGAGGCCAAGCAGTTCGAGATCGACAAAAAATTACGCTCGCAGTGAAACATCGATCATGGCAAAGTCGTTCGAGTACATAAAAGTTACATCTCATGGTGAAATGCCAAACATGGCTAAACACTTCATTCCAGAAATATACTCTTTCACTTCTTTCAATGCAACTCCTCTTTAATTCTCTCCATACACAAAGCCTAATCCTCTCTTCTCTGCATCTCGTAGCCAATGAAGAATCGACATCTCGCGACCAATCCTCTCCTCTAAAAGGTCTGCATCTCGCTGCCAACAAAGAATCGGCATCTTGCGGCCAACGTCACCCCTGGTTTGAGATCCTCTCTCTCTCCGACGCCCTCCTCCCGTCGCCTGCACCGTTCGATGCCCCAAGATGTGGTTTACTGAATTAGGGTGTATTAAATTTCAATTTTCGTCGACGATCCTGACATATTGATGCTTTTGTCTTCTCTTCCAAAGGGTGGTACGACAAGCTGGACCCCCAAGATGTGGTTTACTGAATCAGCATCTGGGTCGAGTCATGGTGTTCAACGATCTGTTGGCCGTTAGTGAAGTGCTGGCGGAGCAGCAATGGTTTTAAAAAAGGCGGAGTTGAACTGACGATGGGAGGTCATATGTAGGGTCATTCATTTGGGGTTGTATTGATGATGGTAGACAGATGTTGTACTTGTTATCCATTGAACATGCAATTGTGCAATATGATAATAGAGTTCTTTTGCAGTACTTAATGCCTTCTCGTAGAAAATTTCTGCATATCGAAGGCCTGGGGGTTGGAGAAGCTTATTATGTTCTTGTTAATTTCTAAATAATTTGTTTGTTAGCGTGTGTTATATTTGTGTTTTGAATAATTTTGAGAGTTAATTTGACGTTTATTTACTACTTGATTATGGTTATTGATTGGTTTTTTGGTCTTATTTATAGTTTATATTCACTTTTTTTTATTGATATTTTTTTTTCAAATAAATTTAAGATAAACTTAAAATGACATTGATATTGAAGGTTTTCATACTTCGTGTTCAAAGATAAACTAATGAAGCAACAAAAATAGTCTGAGAGTGACGATGAATCCCCGGGTCCATTGCCGAGAGTGACGATGAATCCACGGTCTACTGCCGACAAATTATCGGAATTTTTTATTAGTTCCTTCCATTTAAGTAGCATCTGAATTGTCCATTAGGTTCAATGATTTGTGTTTGCATGGATTTTAAGATTTTTCAAACTGTATTCCTCTTAGTTCTATTTGGTTTAATTTATGGGATAGTGTAGACAAACTAAATTGTGGTTCTACACAGACGGATAAAACCTCGATACTGGGAGAAGCCATAAACTATCTGAAACATCTGGAACAGAGAGCAGAGAACTTGGAAGAAGCGAAAAGATCTTCGAAGATGGCGATGGAGTCGGGGGTTTTCGTGAAGAAATCGCAGGTGTTCGAGGAGGAAGAAGGTTCGTCGTTGGCCGGAGAAATCGAGGTGAGGGTGGTCAACAACAACGTCCTCATAAGGGTGCATTGCGGTAAGCACAAGGGCATTCTTGCCAATTTGCTTAGCCAGGTGGAGAGCATGAACATGGTGGTTGTCAATACTAATGTCAGCCTCTTTGGTAATTCTTCCCTTGAAATCACCATCATTGCTGAGATGGAGAAGGGATTCAGCTTGAGCGTGAAAGAAGTTGCGATGGCTCTTCGTGGAGCTTTCAAGCCGGCGACTGCATAAATGCTATCACCCCATTATTCTATGTGTTGCTTTTGTGGAGACGAGATGAATATCAGCTGACTATAATTTATGGAATTTCGAGAATTTTTCGAAATTAATTTTAAGACTAAAATTCCATGTTAATGTGGGTCATGAACTGATCGATTCCGACGAGTTTTATGTGCTTGATGTGTGTTAAAAACTCTTTCATGTTGTTTTGTTATGGGAAAAATTAGAGATTTAGTCCTTTAAGTGGCACCGATTGGAGTTTTAGTCCTTTAACTGACCAAGATTTAGAAAAGGTCCTGTAAGTTCCAAAAAAACGTGATAAATAGTGTCACCGGCTACTGAGGGTAACTCTTACCTGCTTGCTTACCTGGATTATGTTTTTAATTTTTCTTTTTTTTAATGTGCCATATCGGTAAATAAAAAAAACAGGTGTCTTAAATTGGGGGAAAAATCCCTAATTTTCGTCATTTGCCTTTTCTCAAACCCTAAAACTCGTCACTTCACTTTCTCTAAGATCGATCCCGATTTCATCCAAGCCCTAAGAAACCAATTTCTGCAAAAATTCAGTTCGTTGAAAAGTTCTGCTACAATGCCCGATCTAATGACGTTCAGGCCACCGGAACACTTCGAGTTTGAACCACCCGATTATGGTAAGTTCTGTTGTTAATTTTATGAATTTCAATTTCGTTACCTAAGTTTGAACACTTCGATTCTGTTGTTTCTGAATTTTCTCAATGTCCCCAAAGTTCATGTGTGCTTTTCGAAACCCTAATTGAAATGTTTATTGGTGTCTTCTATTTTGCAGTTTGATTTAACATAATCTAAGTTTTTTTTTTTGTTTTGTTATGTATGCAGACTCGAAAAGCCAGCTCTTCACTTTATGTGTCAATTTTAGGGGACATTTCCATAGTAATGGTGGGGAAAAGAAGTACATCGGTGGGGCAACTTACAAGTTCGACTTCGTCCGAGAAGGTCTGATGTCTTTAGAAGCACTTTACAGGCTGGCAATTAGAAAGAAAATGGAGGGGACCATTACTTACTGGGGAAAATCTGAGGTAGGTCTCATTACTGAAATAAAAAATGATGAGGAATTAATTGTTTTCATTAAAGGAGCTATAAATGGTTCTAGAGAGCTCTTTATTTATTTTGATAATGGGGCTAAGTGCATCACATGTGATAAAGACTCTAATGATTGGGAGATAGATGATGAATCATTGGCAAATTATGACTATGAGTCTGAGTTGGGATTTAAGGTTAGTGGGCAGTGTGAAAGAAAGGAGTCTGAAGCTGAGGTTGGAGTGAAGGTTGGTGGGCAGTGTGAAAGAAAAGATTCTGAAGCTGAGGTTGGGGTGAAGGCTAGTGGCCAGTGTAAAGATGATGAAGGAGACGGTAGTGTTGAGAGTGTTAATAGTGATAGTAGTGAAGACCTTGACTTTGAGCTTAGTGGTGAAGAATGTGATATTGAGGATGATGATCTTATTTTCAATGAACACATAGACTCTGATGTGGAGTGGTGTGATCAGAATACATCAATCCCTGTTGCACCTCCTGATGAAAATGATGAATTAGGTGATTCAGATGTGGTTGAAAGTGAGGATAAATACTACAGTGGGAAGGAGTCTGATGAGGAGGATGTGAACAAGGTTGAAGCTCCTCTGTTCAATCCACTTCAACAGTACAATCCAAGGTTGAAGCTTGGAATGGTTTTCAGCACAAAGCAAGAAGTTAGGATGGCAGTTCACTCAGATGCAATTAGAGAAAAAAGAAATGTGAAAATTACTAAGAATTACAACCTCAGATTGCATGCTAAGTGTGTTGAGCCTGAATGTGAATGGAGGCTGCATGCAGTAAAGATTACTGATTCAAGTACATATAGAATCAGAGAATATGTCTCCAAACATTCTTGTCCAATGACCATGGATGTTAAAAATCTTAATTCAAGTTGGTTGGCTGGGAGATATCTCCATAAGTTCCAGTCAGATCCTACAAGAAAACCCAAAGGATTCAGAGTTGATTGTGTGCAAAGTCTAAGGTGTAATGTCACCCCATTTCAGGCATGGAGGGCAAAAAAAATTGCTTTGGAGAAGCTAGAAAGAAACATTGAGGAACAATACAAACTGTTGTGGGCATATGCAAATGAAGTAAGGAGATCTAACCCTAATTCAACTGTGGTAATTGGGTTGCACCAGGATCAAACATTTGAGAGGATTTATGTTTGTTTTGCTTCACTGAAGATGGGTTTTCTAAATGGGTGCAGAAGGGTTATTGGAGTTGATGGGTGTCATATCAAGAGTGCACAAGGTGGAGTAATATTAACAGCTGTGGGTTTGGATCCAAATAACAGTATTTTTCCTATTTGTTATGCTGTTGTTGGATTGGAAAATGGTGAAACATGGGGTTGGTTCCTGAGGTTATTGAAGGCTGATCTTGGAATTAAAGATGATTATCAATGGTGCTTCATGTCAGACAAGCAGAAAGGTCTTATCCAAGCATTCAATGATGTGTTTCCAAATGCTGAACATCGGTTTTGTATTAGACATATGCAAGGTAACATGAGGAGAGCTGGTTTTATTGGACAATCATTCAAATTAGCTGTGTGGAGGGCAGGAAAGGCCACAACTGTGAATGATTTTGTAAGGAGGATGTCTGAGGTAAGACAACTAGAAGAGAAGGCATATGACTGGCTTAAAGACAAGCCTCCTGCCCAATGGAGTAGATCTCATTTCAGCACATTGGCTAAGTCAGACATCTTGTTAAACAATCTTTGTGAGACCTTTAATGGGAACATTTTGGAGGCTAGACAGAAGCCTATTCTAACTATGCTGGAAATGATTCAGTTGTATTTGATGGAAAAAATGCAAAAGGCCATAGAAAGAGCTACCAAGAATTGGAGAAAAAGTGTCATTTGCCCTAGGATTAATAAGATTGTGCAACAAAACCTGCAGAACATTCCTGATTGTATCCCTATAAAAGCAAGCGAATTTAACTATCAAATAAGCTGCAACAATGGTTCCTAATTTTCTGTTGACCTATCCAATAAGACATGTGGTTGTAGGAAGTGGGATCTCACTGGAATTCCTTGTGTTCATGCTTTATCTGCCATTAGATGTGGGGGGTTTGAAGTAAATGACTTTGTTGACAGATGTTACTATTTGGATACTTACAAAGTTGTATATGCAAGCATCTTGATGCCAATGAATGGCAGAGACCAATGGCCTATGTCCAATTTTATACCTGCCAAACCCCCCAATTTTGGGAGAGGGGCAGGTAGACCACCACAGCTAGAAGGCTAGAACCTGATGAGGTTATGCCAAAAGAAAAGAAGAGGAATAGAAGACAGAAACTTATTAATCCCCACAAGATTCAAAGGCAAAAGAATGTATCACTTGTGGTAACTGCGGTTCAAAGGGTCATAACAGAAAATATTGCAAAAGCACATCTGAATTTGCAAGTCAGGTCACTCAAGAAGATACTCTCCCTCCCACTCCACAGGTGATATTGCAAAATGATATTTTCCTTTTTTTATGTTTATTTTTACTTTGCAAGTCATGTCATAATGATGGTTGTTATTTTTCTTTATCATAATTATATAGGTTCATGAGAATACAACAGGTGAATTTGCTAGTCAAGTCACTCAAGAAGAAGCTATTCTCCCTCCAACTCCACAGGTGATAATAATACTGATAATATTATTTCCTTTATTTCATTATATGTACTTACTTACTTGCAATGTTTAGCTTCTTAAGACCTCAATCCCCAACCCTAAGAAGCCATCAAATCCAAATCAGAATATTGTTATCCAGGTGATAATTGTTAATAAAGTTATTGACATTTTTCATCATTAATGTTTGATATAATATATATATATATATATATGTGGTACATTAATATATTTTTATTGCTTTTCAGGATGGTGCATTGAATGATGCTACATTGGAGCAACCTCCAACCATGTGGGACCAACTTCAGTCTCAACAGAACAATGAGCCTGGAGGATCTTCAGCATATAACATGAAGCCCCGGAAATATGTCACATTTTCAGACTTGGATGCATGTCTTGCTAAACAGGGTACAAAAATGGTACAGGGGAAGGGCAAAAGAAAGAAGAAGAATTGATGTAGTTGCCTATTTTGGATGAAGAAACATTAATTATTGTTTTGGTTATGTTATGGGTTGATGTTCTTCAGATTGGTTTTTGTGAAACTGGGATTTGCTTATGTTTGGGTTGATGTTCTTCAGATTGTTTTTTGTGAAACTGGGACTTTTTTGTGTTATAATTATGGCAATGGGTTTTATGATTCTACCTATGTTAGTTTTATGGTTATTGATGTGGTTTGATGGTTTGATGGTTATAACTAGCTTTGACTATGGTATGATGGTTGAATATGCTTATACTTGTAGCTGTTGTATGATGTTTATGGCCTTTGGTGTGATTGTTTTATGCTATACTGGTTTTATCTTTGGTGTTGTATGATGTTTGGCAGGAAATCAATATAATCAATAACATTATAAGCTATAAACATCACTGATCATATGTTAGCTTTTTTTTGGTTGGGAACAAAGTCACTGATGGATGGAAATCCAATAAAAACTGATCCTCAAGATGATACTCAATGTGGCAGATTCATTCAGATTCATTCAATCAAGTACATAACTGATCCTCAAGAATAGATCCTTACACAAATCAAGTACTTAACAGATCCTTACACAAAAGTACTTAAAATAGCTAGGTAAATTGAAATTACTTCATCAAGTACTTGCTTACACAAATCAAATCCAACACATTCTAACAAAATACAAGACCAAGAAACAACAAGGTGTCTGACTCATTAGATAAATCCTAAACACCTGAACAAAATAATTAAGCACCAAGAAATCAATAAGTACATCTTC